GTCAGCAAGGGCGCTATATCTGTTATGCTGGGTCACAGCAAAAACTTTGTGTTTATGGTTCACAGCTCTCACCCTGCCAGATCCCGCGGTTGTCCAGACTGATCTTCTCCTGCGGGATCTTTGTGGCAGAGGGGGCTGATAGGGTGGCATCTCGACTCTTGAGATGATATATGTTTGATACATTATAACCATCGTTAAATACTGAGCAATACGAAATGAATCCAGTTTCCTAACCTGTTAGCAGCTGAGTCAACATTGTTTATAATGATATGAAGTATCAGAAATAGAATTTTGGAGAACCTTGTCTGATTTGTTTAGACTACAGTGAGTTTCCTATTTGAATCAGGGATTTTAATTATCATTAACTGATTCATATAAACATAAGCAAGTATGCAGCTACGTTTTTTGAAATTTTTGGTTATGGATAGCCTCAGTTAATCCTGCTAACACAGAAAGATAAAACTTACAGTCCAGAAAGTGGGAGCATGCAAAAGTTAATGCCACTGTCTTTTCTCTCTATAATTTTTCTTACTTGTGCATTTTGTTCTAAATTACACTTTGGTGTGATGTATGAACATAGACTGTGTATCAAACTATTAACTTATACAAGCTATCAGTGAAGACTTCCGCATTTTAAGTGTACTGTAAACAATTGTCTCATTCTTATGCATTTCTAAGATAAAGACCTCTTCAACCATGTGTTAGAAATAGTTGTTTGTTATCCAGGTGTAGTTTTCTCCACATGAAATCATATTTATATTTTTCAGAACTTGTGTAGGCCATTGTGTTGGCGCAGCTTGCCCAATATGTCAGGTGCCAATCACTAAACAGGATGTGAAAATAAACAGGAAACTGGACAACATCATCAAACTCTACAGCAAATTGCAAACTCTGCAGGACAAGGACTTCTCAGGTAAATGAGATAATAACTTTTTGAAACCTGGAATTATGTAGCTTGAAAGAACAAAAACTCTTCTCCACTATACATTTAAAATGGAGTGTAATTAATATACATTTTGGTGTCATTTTTGTATAACTGGTCATTTTTGGTGCTGCTGCTGCTATTATTGTTGTTGTTATCCTTGGGATGGTGACAGTGTTTGATGGAGGCATTCCTTCTTTTTAGAGGGAGGCATCATCAGAATTTCATTTTAATATGCGTTGTTGTGCATATAGGTAAATAACAATAAACCTTATCTTTTCATCTCATTTTATGTAACTAAAATCTTATTGGTCTGATGTTTACTAACATTTTCCCTTCTGAAAATGTGTAGACAACTGTATCGGCACAGCTTGCCCAATATGTGGAAAGAATGAAGTGGCAGAAACCCTGGCATTCACTAGGAGTTCAACCCCTACAAATAAATACCAGCATTCTGAAAGGCTCAGAATGCTGGTGTTCACTGGCATTTTTGCCAGATTTGAGGTTGTTCATCCAGTGTGTGGCACAGGGGTGAGGGGAAATCCCTTGGTGCACTGGGGAAACAGACCTCAAATCCAACATCCCTCACTTGCAAACTTCCCTGTCGGCGTCCACATTGACTTTTGGGGTAAGTCAATGGTTCCCAAACTTGGCAACTTTAAGACTTCTGGAAGTCCACAAGTCTTAAAGTTGCCTAGTTTGGGAACCACTGGGGTAAGTTACCAGAAGATTGCAAATGGCAATCACATGATGGTACTTGGCACTTGGCAACTAGTCATAAATAAGAACAAATTACTAAGTGCCCAAAATGTGACCAGGGTAATCCCCATCATGATATTGTACAAAGGCCAGAATTAAAGCACCTATTCCAAGATAATCTTGACCGTGGTCATTAAATGGCCAGTTGTAAGTCCAGGACTAGCTGTAAATTCTATGCTAATGTTTTGATTATTGATCATGATCGTGATTACTAACAATTGTTCAAAAATTTATAAACCTTATTTTTCAAGAGTTGACTTTCATATACTAAACATGCTGCTTAGGTAAAGCTGAGACTAAACATTATGGAAATAGGTATGTGTTCAAATACATTGTCTATCATTTGTATCTAGAATAAAATGGTGAGTGCTGTTTTTTGAGCCCAAGGTGCATTTTGGAATGCAGGTATTCTTTGATTTATGATAGGCTGCTTAGCAACGATTAGGAGAGGCCACCTCATTGTGGGGACTTGTGACAGGATTCCACAAGAGGCGTTGGCAAAGTTCTTCGTTTTTCTTCCCTTGGCCGTCGCTAGCCTCTCCTCCCCCAGCATCAGCAGCTGTAATATGGTGATGTTGGGGGAGGGAAGGCTAGCAACTAGCAAAGAGAAACCCCCTTGGCTTCCCTTTCTCTGCTGGCCTTCCTAGCCTTCCCTCTTCTAGCATATTAGCATTTGGATGCTATGCTGGGGGAGAGAAGGCTGGTGATTAGGCAGGGAAGAAAAGCCACCAGGATTTCTGCTTCCTAGTGGAAGCCTTCTGTCAGATCCCTAAAAGTGAGACTGCCATTCAATTGGGAGGAGGGGGGCCTCGGAGTTAAATCACTAGCTGTACCTGTAACAACTGAGTTTTACAACTTTACAACTGGTTTCCTGTCACCGGAAAACTGAAGGCCCCAGCACCTCTGAAGGGATGTTTATGATGGCCATGTGGGATATCTTACTTTAATGTCTAACTATAGATAGCCATAGGAACGCATGTTTTATTCTACTCTCAGGGCAGAAGAGTTAAGGAAACATCTTCAACACTTGTGTATTGGTCGGAATCTGCATTTGGACAAAGGGGAGGGGTCATTATCAGCTTAATCCCATTTGCAGGGCCTAAAGGGTTTCAGATGCTGCTTTGCCTCTAATGGTTTTCCATCCTGCTTGATTAAAGGATCCTTTTGAAATAATCCGTTTCAAGAGTCTTTACTTTCTTAAGTTAGGAGAGGAGCCATTACACCTTCACTCCCCCAGTGACAGCTGCAATACACTTGCGTTATTCTGCCACGTGGCCCAGCAATGGAATAGCTTGTACCTCCTTCTGCACCCCAATTTGAGTTCTGGAGAACTTCCAAAAGATTAACAATCAATAGCAGGGGTGGAGACAAGGCCCAAGCAACAGGATCCAAAAGGGTGGGAAACAGAGCATGTGGTTGGTTTTTCAGGTGGGATGGGGAAGTATTGGAAGAGTAGAGAGAGTGGGCTTGTGTCTGCATTAGGGTCTCCCCCACCCCTGAGGCACTCATATTCCACTTAATATTCATTTAACGAATACATAGAAGAGAGCAGAGATGAGGACACAATATGTGAAGCAGTTCACTTAAACACCGCCACCCCCGAAATCCGCCCACAATGGGGCGATTCCATTACGATTTCCTGCCTTGTTTTCTTTGACTGTTTTTCCATCATCCAGCTCATGCCAGTTGGTGCAATAAGAGCTACAAGGTGAAGAATAGATCTGGGGAGGACAGACAACACAGTGTGGCATGATAAGATGCTAAGAAGAGCGGAACGAGGGGAAGTAGCAAAAACGTTGAAAATCATATTTGAGAAAAAGTAAAGCCACTCATTTTATATTAATTAGCCTTCATTATCATCATGAACCTTGAACTTTGGTTTTAAGCATGTATTCCTAAAAGGCTTAATCCAAAGATAACGAGAAATAAATTCTTGACTTCTTCTGAACAGCTAACTCCAAAAGATTCTCCTGAGACAGATCAAACCATACTTTCTGGATATAGTACTTTATGGAGCGAAATATGTATAATTAATAGACAGATACAAAAATTTTGAACTCGTTGAAAGCTTCTTTCCATTCCCATTGTGCAGCAGCTTAATAACTAAATATACTGTAATTTGTCACTTCAAGCAATAAACTTGAATCCATTAGCACAAAGCTTGTCCTTTAAAGAAATCCCTCCCCCCCTTTGACAAGGGGAAAAAATTGCAGCCTAGTTTCTTTAGTCAAAGATTAATATTGTACTTGTGCAGTGTTATTATTAATATATTTACTATACAGGTTCACTGTAATGGAGCCTAAAATTGCAACCATAAGTCATTGTTAAGGGGGTCACCACACACCTTTTATACTTCTCTGCAGAAGTTGTTAAGCAAACCCATTTTAGCCAGTAGGAATTTTTTGGCAGAAAAACTGGAAGTAATTGCTATTTTCGGGCAAAAAAAAGAGGCAATAAATCATGACCAAAGGGTGGTATAGGTGGCAGTAAATGTGGGCTGGTTGCCAAGCGCCCAAATCATGACTGCAAGGGGGTGGCCATCAGAATTTCAAATATGGGTTGTAAGTAGCTTGTGGAAAGGTCCTTTGTAACTTTGTAAGGTGGCTAAGTGGCCAGTCATACGTTGAGGACTATTTGTAAACATAATTCACTAATGGCTAAAATGTTACTGTGCAGGCTCTCTCTGCATTTGGTTCATTTTGATGAAGAATGGCAATATTTGCCTGTACAAATACAAGCAGTTAAAAATAAAGTTGACAGCTACCTCCTTCCTTTTTCCTGGAGATGAATATTTATATCCAGGTAAATATTTTGCAATTACAGTAATAATATGAGGAGTAAATGCCACCTATAGAATGCTCGTTTCTAAGCTTGTTGGCAATCTGGCTTCACAGATTGTGTTGCTGCAATAGAAGATTACTTAAACTTTTTTCTAGCGACGGAACAATCTTATTTTGTTTCCGTTTTGTTCTACCCAGAGCTTCCAGCCAGTTCTTTAATAGGCCTAAGTACAAATGAAATATTTCAACATTAACTGGTCATCATTGCTTTAGGCTACATTAATAACTTATGCTTGCAACTTGCTTTATCAACAAATATTCAGTGTAATATATTAAATTTTATGTAGGATGTTATGAAAGTTACAACTTTATGCCCTACGTTCTATTTACTCTACAAATTTAGTTTGCACATACTGCCCTGGAGACACAAATCACCGAGATTTTCACCCATTAAAATAAAATACCTACAATAGAAAATAAGACAATAAGATTTTAATAAGAGCTGTTGAGTACAATTCATTAAGGGAAGCCAAGGGGCATTTTAGTTTGATTATAGTGATTCTGATCTTTCTTTTAAATTGAATGTGTATATATTTATTCCTCTGGTTACATTAACTTGTTAATAAAATATCCTAAAAATATATAATTGGGATTTTAATGCAGAGTGGTGTAAGTAATGTTAAATTCAATTGGTCTCAATGGATTCGAATTTTTAAAATAATTACATATTTCAATTTGTATACCATATCCCAGTATGCTAAGTAACTAAAATTTTCCATAGTATAATGTCCTTGTCTTTCACTTTTTAAAAATGTTTTGTATTAGGCAAGATACTTTATATTGTGTTTGAACTTCTATAGTTTATAGCAACAGATGCATAATAATCTTAAAGGTTTGTAAATCCATTTGAGTTTTCAGTATTTCTATACAAAGAAGACCTAAGATGTGATCTGTTCTCCACCTGTCCTAAAACTAGATAGAGAACATGTACCACGAATGTTCAAAGGTGACATTGAGACAGGTGTGCATGGTATTGTAGATATCATGGGGGCTATTGTATTTATGGAAAAGTTTATAATGCTGGGCACATTGAGTGAAAGAAGTGACTGACAGCTCACGAGAGGTATGGAGTACTGGAAGCTACAGAATATCCCTGGAAGAATTGCATAAGGTGGTGAGTTAAACTGAACGGAGTATAATATATAACACATTCTAAATATGAGTTCTCTGCAGAAATGCTTAATGGCTGCATTTACAGTTAAAAACAGTGGTCCTCACAGCTCGCCAGATGGCTGGTGACTGGTGAAGTGAGATATTTTTCTTGGACCTGCCCCCAACAATCTGCTGAGGACCCAGATTGTTGGGGGCAATATGCTGACTCTCTGTAAACTGCTTAGAGAGGCCTGAAAGGCCTATGAAGCGGTATATAAGTCCACTGCTATTGCTATTGCTATTGCTTGGATAGACTCGGACTGAACTCATTTTCTGTAGGTAAAGAATGTTTCTACTACTGAACTCTGTTCCTTTGATCTTTGTTTTGAGGCAAATCTTAACATAATGGCAACATGTTTTCTGCAAATCTGAAAGTTATCTCAGTAGACGGAGGAAGAACAGGATGTGCTGTACTACGAGTAACCCTAAGACTCATCTCCGTAGTGTTGAATTGTGATATAACTTTCCATGGAAACTAGCGCTCTGTATATGTGGGACTCTTCTGATTTTTTGCAGAATTTTGGGTCAGATATTATACCCAAACATGATAAGAAACTGTGGAGGAATTAGAAGGAAATGTTTATATACAGAAAGCATGACAGGCTTTTGGAATGGAAAAAGCATTTAATCATACCTGCAGCCTTAAGTGAAACAGTGCAGATACAAATAATCCCACCAATAAGAGTTAATATTGTTATAGTGTACATAAAACTGAATGTTTTTTCTTCCTTCCTTCCGTTTCCTTGTTCAGAGTGTGAAGATAACTCGCCTGCTTTGGGAAAGAAAGTTGGAGAGGCAGAAACTAAAAGGAAACAAATCAAAATGAGTTTCAGTCCTCGCAGTAGGAGGATGAAATTCACCCTGAAGACCAGCCCAAAGAAATTAGAGCAGCTGAAGGAATCTGTCAAGGACAGGGAGTCTTGTAACTTAGCCTCCATCTATGACTTTGTTTCTTCACCTCCTCATGAGAAGCCTTTCAGAGAGGAACAGACACCTAAATGTCACAAAACAGAAGAGGGGACCGTCCGCCGGAAGTCACGATTGCTGAAAAAGGCCTCCCAGCAGCCGCCCGGGAATTCTGTGGCGGCCTTTCCCATGACGGACTCTACAGTTTCTTCCCCATCTCTGCCATTTCCTGGAATAACATCTCCCCGAAGGAACTTGGAAGACTTCGCATGTGCCAGAGATCCAGAACATCCAAAAGTGTCCAGAAGTTGTGAAGAAAGGGAGGCATTCCTCAAGAAATTTCCCAAAAACTTATCAGCCAAGAGAAACCATAAAGGGGAGACTTTGCTCCATACTACTTCTATTGAGGTAAATTAACCTCTTCTCTGGAATATTTATTCTCAATAAAATAACATTTTTTTCCTATTTCGCTATTACAGAAGAGTTAGAGATATTTCTAAATCATTTAGTTCATGCAACAGAGTCTACATCCTTTATTTTCCAGAGATACTGCATTATATACAGTACCTACATATATATTATGTATGTGCTTTTTTTGGTGTTCTGTGGATATTGTAATCATGAAAAGAAATGCTATTCAGCATTAGGAATGCCTGTTTCAATCATTAGAAGAGAGATAGCGATAGCACTTAGGCTTCCCAATTCTTTACAGCCCTCTCTAAGCAGTTTACAGAGTCAGCCTATTGCCTCTAACATTCTGGGTCCTCATGTTACTGACCTCAGAAGGATGGAAGGCTGAGCCAACCGTGAGCCTGGTGAGATCTGAACTGCCAAATTGCAGTCAGCCGGCAGTCAGCAGAAGTCTGCAATACTGCATTCTAACCACTGCGCCACCTCGGCTCTTCAGAT